ATCCGATCTACGACTCAAACAGACGTCTAGAAATGCCAATTTGTTGTCGTTTTCCATCTGGTGAGCAGCATTGAACTTGCTCAATAGCTCATTTGTTCCTGATGTTGTATTGATCACGCACAGAATATCATCCACATATCGTGTATATAACACACAATCCTGAATGGAAGATTTGAGTTGGTTATTTTCGAGTTTTGCCATGAACACATCGGCAAACACGGTCCTAGAGGTGATCCCATATCCGCACCATCCTTTTGTCGATAAATCTGCTCGTTGAACTTGAATTGGACGTTGTATGTGCAAAAATAAAGCAGTTGTTTCAGGTCTTCCAATGGAAGGACTATCTCAACATTGTTACTTTGTACATACCTACATAGGTATTCGATGGTTTCGCTGATTGGAACATTGGTGAAGAGCGACTTAACGTCCAGTGAAAGCATTGCCCGATTCATCAAGTTTAAGTCACGAATGCTGTTCACAAAAGTGAATGCGTCTCGTACGCTGTGTTTCGGTAATCCAATTATTATGGGCTCTGGTAATTTAGCCAACCATTTTGCAAGTGAGTGGTACGGTGAATTGCACATATCCAGAATTGGTCGCAAGGGTACCCCTTCCTTGTGCACCTTCCGTACAGTCTGGGTATCGTTGTCCCAGTTGGCCGGATCCGTTCGAATGTGGCCGTATCAGTGACTCCATTTTGCCCTAATTATCTCAATATATTAGATAACGCAACCTCTATTTAAGTGGTCTTATCCTTTTCCGTTGTTTTGGTGAATTTCGACCTGCCACTCGATATTTCTTCCATCTTTTGTACGTAATCCGTTCGGTTCAGAAGCACGATCCTCGCCCCTTTGTCCGGTTTAAATGTCATCATTTCTCTGTTTCTCTGCAGGTCTCTGAGTCGCTTGAGATGCTCCGGTGTCAGTAGTTCACTTGTTTTTACTTTCACACTCTGATGTTGATAGCATGCATTGACTAAGGTTGATTTCAGCTTTTGCTACTCCGAAGCTGACGAGGAAACGAGATCAGAGAGTCGTGCGTATAGATTTTCAAACTCCACCTCTACATCAAGTTGCTTAGATCTCCCATTAGGACAACAAAACTTTGGTCCTAGAGACAATACTTCTAACAGCATTTTGTCGAAATTTACAGATGATAGATTGTGAACGTACTGCTCAGGGTTGGTTGACATGGTTAAGACGCTGACGCAGCGTGGTTTGGATGCGATCGACTGAACATAATCCGGAAAGATTTTCTCTCAGTCGGGGAAAGATCATCCAACACACATGCGGAAGTCACATAATTCCGTTCTAAATCCACAATATGATTACACGTGTCACGCTCATTGAGAGCGAGACGGCGAAGGATGGCACTGGTCATGTTCACACGATTTCTCCTCAACAATGTCCAATACTGTTTCGGAAATTCCGATTTAGTAACGCATTCGTCAATGAACTTAATTCGAGCCTCTAACAGAGCTAGTTTCGTACGGAACTTAATATACTTGTTAATTCCGCGAAATACAATGGGATCTTTGACTTGCTTTAATTGTCTAAACAGTCCTACAGAGCACATTTCAAATAGACCAAGGAGTGACGAACAAGCTCATTTTCACTGATTCGTAGTCATGCCAAATACATAACAATAAATATTAAGCTATTTATGTATAGATCAGTATTCAACCATCAAAACGCAAACAATTGTTTTGGGAAAGGGAAAACAACCTCATGGATTATCTAGGGTTAATTTCGTCTCAATGATCACATAATTGTTAGGTCATCCGATCGTTGGGACCACTCAAAATATGGGGTTTGTGTGGGGTGGGTCAGGGGAGTTTAAACGCCTGCACAAATTGTTTTTGGGCTAACAGGGGGGGATGGATTGTGCGTAAACAAATAAAAATAGACTTTCGGTGTTTGAACACCGCTGTCTGTGCAGGATTGCAGAGTGAGGAATGCGAAGTTTTAGGCAATCGTGGTCGCCCACCGGAGGAAGTATTGTACCTCCATGGATTTCGTTGGTTGGGGCTTGTGTTACGCATGTAACAAAATAGGTTGCTGTGGCGGGTGATGTTTGTCGAGATAGGGTAGTGGGTAGAATAAAGTTAATGATTATCAAGCTAGGACCTTGCACGAGGGTATGAACACCCTAACCAGTAGTTCGGGTCACGTGTCCCGTTAGGCTCCCTGGCTGGGGACTTCGGGATGATCATAACCGATGGTTAGACACTGAGTGATATGGTTGGCTGTCGTAGACAGCGGCGTTTATGCATCTTCTCAATTTCTCTTCATCATGAGTCCATTGAACTTCTGAATTTCCTCTTCGATCGCACTTTCAACCTTCCTGTTTTCCTACTGTTGTTCACCCGAATTGGCAGCCAAAAGACCAGTCAAAAGCGTCGCATGGAAATGCATGCTTAATGGTTGTTTAAACTGAAAACAAACTTTTCTGTTTACATGCGATTCACCACACGATCAAACCAATTTCACTATTCTCTTGTATACATTTGTTCCCTTTACTTTTTACACGTTCTTCTGTATCCTAACCAAGCGTTTTCAGAGTTTGTTCTTTGTAGCCTTCTTAATCTAGTTCAGATTCGGGCACATAGAAACCGTCACTGGTTGAGCTTAAATAAAGGAAAGAAAAAATAATGTGTTTTCAGCTCATTGGGGAAATCTACAGTTTTGGAAGCATCTTATAATTTACGTACGCATCGTGACATTAGAAATTCCTTGTGTACGTTTTTATCACACACTTTAGTGTGATGGACAGCAGACGGGATAAACCCCATAGTCACAAAGCCCTGTTGTTCACTGATGGAAATAGGTAACCTAAGCACCTGGACTTGGATTGGCGAACCACATAGGGCCCCTTTAGGTTAGGTGCGGTATAGAACCGAATGACAGCAACGCTGTCTACCACCAAAGTTGAGTGACGGTGGCGAGGCTCGAACCTCGGACTATAGGGTCCAAAGCACGCCGATGACAACGACTAAACCACTGCATCAACACCCTTAGTTGGTTTTTCACTTATTTCAACGTTAAAGGCTGTAACTGATTCTGCTGGATGGCTTGTGATACACATAGATATCCGCAACCTAATTACTAAACTTGGGAAATGTGAATGATTAACAGGCATTCAGTACCATTTTGAGGGTTGTTACGTTCAATCTCGACGTAAGATTGATACGAGAGTCTCTTGACTAGTCTCCAACAGTGATACGGCAGAGAGAACACGACTGGAGAGTCATTTTTTATTGAACAGGACGATACAATAAGTGTTAAATTGGGCGTACGAGAACGACCTGGTGACGCACCAGATCGCGTCCTTGACACCGAAGGATCGATCGAACGACAGCTGTCTGATTCGTATTAGTCATCCAATCCGGAATCCATTCGCCTTGGACGTCGTGTGCGCACTTGTGGTGTGACGCGGATCCATGCGTGGCCTGACGGGTTCTGCGTACTCCGTTCTAACAAAAGTGTTTATAGGTTTGCAGTGAACTACTTCTGTGAATAACTTGTTCCCTTTTGGCTTGAATCCGTGTGAGATGTTGATTTGGACCGTGATGCTACCATGACTTCGTCGAAGTTTAAAGCNATCGCAGATCCGTGGTCTACATTGTATCGTGATTGACGGCTTTCAATTTTAACCGTTTATCAGAATTCCCCTAGCTTTTCTACGTTTCATGGAGAAGAAATGAGGATCCCTTCATCGCTGTTCGTAAATTTCCGCGTTTCTTCAGCTACCAATAGGAAATTATTTTCACACTATTAACGAAAACTTCGTTTATAATCAATTTCCTTTTTCAAAAATATCGAAATGCTGTTGAAACTAGAATTGAGTAGGATAATTATATTTGCTAACCGAGTTTGTGTCATTGTTCTCACAGCGTCCCAACTGCTCAATGCCTTCATTCGGTATGCCTCGGGTTCTCACTATCTTCAACGCTCCAATCTTTCTCCTTTTCTACCGGAGGAAATGACTCCACGTACATTGATTAACGACCAGTGGGACCAGGTGAAAAAACCACAGGTTGGTTGGATAACATAGTGTAATATCTCATAACAATATTTTTCTCTATGTAGTTTTTGTTGCAACTTATCCAACTCGGTTTATCATTGTTGCTTTCGATATAAATTCCTTAGGTTTATATTCCTCGGTGGTATAATTGCTGATGTCGTTATCTAAACCCCATTTCTTATAGTTATGTTATTGTGTGATGAACAACAAAGTGCGAAAAACATTTGCTTCGTCCTTTTGAAAGCTCATCGACAAGCGTTTAACCCACAAACGCCCCAAATCAAGTCTGTCTACAGCGCCTAATACCTGTGGTAATCGAATCAACTCACACAAACAATATTCTAAGTCTAGTTTGTTATGAATCTGTGAAGTTTAGAAAGCTTAGTCCGTGCGGCCAGAGAACAGAGCATTTTATTAAAATTTTTTTATTACACTCCCAAGCGTGATGAACAGCAGATGGGGCGAAGTCCATAGTCACGAGGACCTGCTGTCCATTGGTGGTAACCGATAACCTAAGCCCGGGGCTTTTAGTATTTGAACAGAATGAACTCAAAACATCAGTTTCAGCCCAGGTTCTTTTATTTTACTCCGGCTCGCTCATAGGGAAGTTGAAAGAAGTCGGCTACAATAATGGTCGTGAAGTTGCATGGAAGGATTGTTGTACCGCGATTTGTTTGGCGCACAGCTTGAACTCAGTCATGTGTGAAAATAAATTTAAAAAAATACAAGAGATGTCAGCCGACTTTTTTCGACGGCAGACAATGAGTTCCCATAAACAGAATAGAGTTCCTTTTGAATAGGCCACAAGTCCTGTCGATCCACCCCAAGGTGGCAGTCTTTGTGTTCCATACGATGTCTTTCGGCTTCGATTACCCTCAATTTAGTTCCATTCCTTCTTCAAGCGGTTTACTTGAATGTGAACTCTGATACATACCTCAGCCTCGTGGGGCCATAATTAAATTAAATTCATACTAAAATCAACCTTACACTTTGGCGTGGCGGTTTTGGTTGCCAATGTGGATTAAGAAGTCAAAGAAGAAGTAGTGAACTGCAAACATTACTTGTTAAGATATAGTGTATGTAAATTTAGTTTTCCAAGAAGCTGAGTGGACGCCCGGTTCTTTAGGGAGTTCTCTCTGTACACAAATCACATTCTGGACGGGAATTACAGGCGTTTATATGCGAGCCTGAATCAATCAGGTTATTCTGTTTGCAAAACAAAAGTCTTATGCGGATCAATCGTAAAAACACAATCGATGCGGTAAAACAAACAATCAATCCAAACGACACTTTCTAACACATCATTCTTCTTTTGAAAGCTTTTCGTTATGATTCTGTTTGGTATACCCATCCGCTTCGTTTTCGGCATGGGGATTGTGTTGTCATGCCCCTCGTTGGTATTTCTCGCTGTAGTTCTTGTACACTGATTTCCATATTCTCCCGAACAGTATCTGGATCTTCTCTTTCTTTGTATTCGTCGCCATTCTCTTCCATTTTCCTCAAATGAACTCTATTTCTCCGTATTGCCCGTTGACCACAGCCTACTAGGTACGATTTTTTTGTTGCTCGTAATATCACTTCTCTCTTCACCCACACCTCCGCTGGTTCCAGTGGTTGTACCCAAACCGTGTATCCTGATCCAAATGGACACAGAGATTTACTGCCGCAGTCATAATACCTCTTCTTTAGTGCCACGCATTTATTTAGCCTTGAATGTAGAACTATTGATGGCGTCTTAAGTGACTGTAGTAACTCGTCACGTGTGCGTCTGACAAATAAACGTTGGCTCGGACTGTTTCCTATGTTGACCGACGGAATGTTCCGTAACTCGAGCAGAGCCATTAGTGAGTCGCTACCATCCGCGGCGCATTTCTTAATAAGCTTCTTTTCCATTGGACTAACTGTGGCAAGGGCCAGTAATATGGTGCTCAAAGTGCCATCTTTCTCTGAATTTCTGGAATTCGGTACTGCGAAATAGGGGACCACTATTGGAAATCACCTGAAGTAATATTCCATGTCGTGCAAAATGAACACTCAGTTCATCACTGATTTCCACCGATGTGCTGAATCGCAGTAAATCGACTTCGAAAGAGTCAACAGTTATCAAGTAGTTGTCTTTCCTCTGATAAAAATATTCAGCACTACCATCTGCCATGGTCTATCTGTTCAGTTCAGTTTTTACAACCATTAACTATGCACTTTCGTGCGCCGGTCTATCTGGCATTGTACGTATATTCATCGGTTCCTTCGTTTGCCATCGATCAAACCGCCTGCAAATTTCACATTTATTAGCCAACTGTTTTATCTCTTCTAACAAATACGGCCAACAATATGTCTCCCTGGCGCGACTGCGGTATCCGTTGACACCGGCGTGAGAATAACATATCAAACGCATTACGTTTTGTTGAATCGCCTTCGGTACTACCAGCCTTTCACCACGAAAAATCAGTTCATCTTGAACGGTTAGTTCATCTCGGAATTTGAGGCAGAGCGATACGTCCACCGGAAGGGCTTTTTTGTTTTCTGGCCAACTGCGAGTGAGTTTTATCGGA